GCCCACTTCTTGTCGTATTTCCAGTTTGTCTGACAGAGTTCAGCCAATCTATTATAGAGTCACCATTAGACACATCATCTGAAGAGTCTCCACCTGTTTAAAACAAAGGGTAGGGAGAGGGAGAAAAGGAACTACTAAAATTAGGACAATCACATAATAGCACTCTGCAACTTTGTACTAAAGAACTTAAATATTATGACCAACTTTCACATTTGTAGATTTTTATAACCTTTACCACATAGATTTGCAAGTAAAAGGCAGGAGAAATTCAATTGTATTTGAAAACAGTAAGCTAATCCCTAGAGAAATTTAGAAAATTACTTGTGTGTGTGTGTGTGTGTGTGTGTGTGTGTGTGTGTGGTGCTGGGGATTGAACGGCTTTTGTGCATGCGAGGCAAACACTCTACCAACTGAGCTATAATCCCAGCCCAGAAAATTACTTTTATCTTTAAAAGGGACCTGGAGGAAGTCTATTTTCAGTATTTCATGATACACAGAGCTTTGCATACCACTGTGGGACTGACAGAAGGCAACATTTTCTCAGTCCACTGTCAAAACACCAATGGTAGTATTTAGGTACAAATTTTATTTCTGTCAAACTTTCATCAGTCTACACGACTTCTAGGCTCTTAGCTTAAGTGTCATAGTCAAATTCCCTACTTCATATTGGGAGGGAAACACCAAACCTGAGGTTACAGCAGGATTTATTGGCAGTGGCACTCCTGACATTTTAAGCCAATTAATTCTGGGAACTATACTGTGTATTATAGGATATCAGGATGTTTGGCTACATACTTGCTCATCTTTACTTGCTAGATGCTGGTAGAAACTCTCTATTGTGTCAACCAAAAATGTATCTAGACATTGCCAATACTCCCCTGAGGGGGGCAAAATTACACCTTATTGAGAACCACTGGGACAGACAATGCAGCATTTCATATTGCTTGTGAGAAAGCCATGTATTTATAAATAAGAAATTAAGTAGAGAGAAATTTCAACGGCCGTGGAAAACCAAGAGGAAAAAGGAATCACATTTTAAATAGGCCATTCCTCACTGTGTCCCAATTAATGCAAACAACCCAAAGGTGAGGCAGAAAAAAAAACATGTTGACATTCTCACTAAATATCAAGAAAATGCCACTTCTCTTTTTATGAGCAGTTACTTAGCACCAAATTAATTTGTGCCATTTCTGGATAATCTTTGTCTGACATTTACTATTATGAAGTTCTTATCATTCCATCCCCTACCCACCTCCCAAAGCAAAATATACCTCTATTTTCATCTGAGTTTTGGGGTGGTGGACCCTCCTTAATTTGYTGTAGTCTTCTTAGCAACTCTTCCTCAGTACTTTCACCTGAAAGTTTAAAAATATTTTCCAAATTACAAATAAAATACTAGTGACTCTTACAACAAGCCAAACATCGTAGGGCAAAAATAAGCTTAGGGGAATAATTACTTCATCAGTGCCCAATGGTGATTTGACACATGAAAATTATAAGAAAAATATTATGTTTAAAATAGTTAAGAGCATATAAAAAAACCTATAAAATTTTTAAAAAAAAAGAAAACTAGAGATTCTTAAATATCTGAGGTGAAAACCGGGATGTAGCTCACTGTTAGAACCAAATGCTCAGTATTCTCAAGGCCCTGGCTTCAATCCCCAGCATGTACATATACATATAGAAAATCTCTAATTTTTAAAATACTTTTGCATATAATATCTAATTTTTTAAAATTGCAATTTTGGGAAGTAGATATTGTTATCTTCATTTTAAAATGAGAAAACAGACTGAGAGAGAGACTGACTTGCCAGAAGATACACCAAGTAACAGCAGGGCCAGAGCTCTAACTAAGGCATTCTTGACTGAAGTCTGGTACTGTTGGCTCAAAATGCAACCCCCACAAGTCTATTTTTTGTGGTACTAGTGATCAAAACCCAGGGCTTTGCACATTCTAGGCAAGCATTATACAACTGAACTATGTCCTTAACCCTTTAAAAAAATTTATTATGAGACAGAGTCTCAATAAGTTGCCCAGGCTGGCCTTGAACTTGTAATCCTCCTGCTTTAGCTTCCTGAGTTAGTGAACACACTCCCTCTTAAAAATCCTGCTTAAACCCTTACCTTTCAAAACATGCAACCACCCAAAGTGTAGTAGAAATAGAAATAGGAGGAAGAGAGATGCTGAGTTTTAGCCAGGGTCAAATGAGAGAGAATAACCAAAAGTTCTAACTGCTATTTTACCCATGACTAACTCTATAGGATTATATCTAGGACATATTTGGAGAATTGGAGATAACAAAATAAAGGTCTGTCCCAGGAACTAAAGTTTCCATTATCTATTTCACACTTGGACCCATTTCAAAAAGTTAAAGAAAGCTAACTAAGAACAAAGAGATTGTCCAGCTCCTTTTTTGATTCATTTTGCTAAAAATTCATAATTTATAACTTTAAAATTTCTGACAGGATTTCCAAATAGAAATGAATAAATCAAGTAAGAAGTACAGCAGTAAATGCCATTCTATATTCCTTGTATTAATCATTTTTTCATAATGACTAAAGAAACAAGACTTTTACAACCAGCAATTTACATATATAAATCCTTAAATTACATGCAGCATACCTGGGGTGCCTAGCAAATTGTTATCTCTCATAAGCCTATAATCTTCTTCACTCAGGTTATTTACAAACTGATAGAAAGCTTCTTCTCGATCCAATCGGTCCATCTGACTTCTGCGCTGTGCTGCAGATTGATCGCCACTTCCTTTATCGTTAGAATCCGAGTTTTCCATCTTGATGAACAAGTGGAAAATTATCTAAAAGGAGAAAGGAGACCAATCTTAAAAACAGGTCATTATGTATACTGTTAAGATACCTTTTTTTTTTTTTTGGTACCAGGGATTGAAGCCAGGGGTGCTTAACCACTGAGCAACATCCCCAGCCCTTTTTATGCTTTTAGAGACAGAGTCTTGCTAAGTTGCTTAGGGCCTCACTATGTTGTTGAGGCTGGCTTTCAACTTGCAATCCTCCTGTGCACCACGGCACCTGGCTTAAGACACTTTTCATTATGTGAAAATCCACAATGTAGGTCAAGATGTGGATTTTAAGACTCAAATAAATAAAACTGTAAAACATAAACCCTCCAGAAAAATCACTGTAATACTAGGAACACTAGGTCAGAATTTGGAAAACTACAGCCATTGGGCCAAATCCAGTCACATTGCCTATTTCTATTCCCTTGCAATCCAAGAATGGCTTTCACATTTGGTGGGAGGGGGTGCTGGGGATTGAACCTAGAGTCTTGTATGAATGCACTCTACCAATGAACTACTTATCTCTAGGTTTTACATTTTTAAAGGATTAAAAATTAGGATATTTTGTGATATGTAAAAGTCATGTGAAACTCACATTTCAATGTTCATAAAATTTTATTGGAACAAAGCCATATATATTCATTTACATACTGCCTATGGCTGCTTTTGGGCTGTAATGGCAGTTGAGCAGTTGTGAGAGACTATAAGTGGCACTCTCACTGCTTTCCACTGCTGCTTTGTGCACTGTAAGCTGCCATGATGCAGTTAAAACTTGATAGTATTTCAGCTGTCATGTGTATTGCCATAATGTGACATTTTTGAAATTACTAAATTCATCATGTCAAATGAAAGAAAAAAGGACTTTGCATGGCATGCTTAAAGGAACATCAGATATTTTCATCACATGATAAAGATTGCATTTATTACACAGACAATATAGATGTGCTAATGTAATACAGTATACACTTGATATTATTAGACTAAACACTTGTTATACTCTCAGTTCACAGAAAAGCTAGTCTTAAAAGATCAGAAAATTGAAAAATGAAGTATTTCATTCAAAATATTAAAAAAATGAAAACGAACCTTCAACTAAAGTAAGTTCACAAATGGCTCATTTTTGCCTAATCAGGGAAAGCCATTTATCAGTGATAAATGGAATTGTTTGAGAGCAGAAGTCTGTCCAGAGAAAATTTACGAATATTAGCTTTTTAGCTGCGCATGGTGGTACATTCCTATAATCTCAGTGACTCAGGAGGATAAGGCAGGAGGACTGCAAGTTTGAGGCCAGTCTCAACAACTTAGTGAAACCTTGTCTCAAAATAAAAAGGGGCTGTTGTTGTAGCTCAATAGTAGAGTGCATGTATGTTCAATTCCAAGCACCAAAAAACCCCCAACAACAACAACAACAACAAAAAACCCCAAAATAAATAACAATGTATTTGTCTTTTCAAGAATGTACTTGTACAAAAAGTCAAAGATAATGAAAGTCATATCACTCATCAATTGAATATTCATGCAAATGATGAAGTGGTTTTCCTTAGCTACTGATTAGTTGACAAATATAACTGATAATATTCAGTTGCTGTTTACTCAAGGAGACAAGTGTTGATTATTTAAGGAGTTTGAACTAAGTGTAGAAGTAACCCCTACGAATAGTCTGCATGAAACTGTGAGAATATTTTTTTAATGAAGTTGAGAAAACAATTCAGCACAACCTGAAGCAGATCCACTAAGACATGTTACAACTGAAATGATAAAGTATGTATGAAGTGGAAAATGACCTTGTTGGACAATTTTATAAAGCCTACAAAAATGTAAGGCGTTTAAAGTATGTGGTTATTCTGCAGGTACTATGCACAAAATATTTGAATTCATCATGTTATTGAACCAAGTGGCATCAATGGTGAATCTCACTTCTGTGAACTTAACCATCCTCAGTTCTATGAATTTTCTGTCAGAAATCTACACTTGCTCTATCATGTGGCATTCTGATGGCTTAACATAGGTAAACTTTCTTGATTTGTTGTACTTAGGGAAAAGACTGAATTCTTTTTCTGAATGAGAAGGAAACCACTCAATTACTACTTTCAAACAATGAATGGCTTGGGAAATTAGCTTTTGCTGTAGACTTGATAATGTTTCTTAATGAATAATAAGGCAAACAATGTTTATATTAAAAACCAATACTAATCAATCCAATAATAACTAGCACTGGCAACACAAATAATGTCAAGTTGCTCTATGTACTTGTTTGTGCTGTCAGAGAAACAAGAGCTCTATTCCCATACAAATTTACAGATTTATTTTTAGAGCTCAAACTATAATTTCAGAAGTGGTGTTTGGACCTTAATGTAAATTTCCTTATTTCAAAATCCATTTATCCATGCAACTGAGGAGCTTCTATGTAACATTCAATTGGAAATACTAACTGTGCTGTATGAGATACTAAAAGATGAAATTCAAAAGAAGCTATATCAAAATTCTGAAAATGCCTCCTCCAAGAGATGAGCATGCTTCATTAAAATCATATGCTTATGGGGAGGGTGTTATGCTCAGTGGTAGAGTGTTTGCCTCATATGTGGGAAGCTTTGGGTTCAATCATCAGTACCATAAAAAATAAAACCAATTTACAGTTCTCTTTGCCAGGCATAGTGACTCACACCTGTAGTCCCAGTGACTCAGGAAGCTGAGGCAGGAGGATTAAAAGTTAGAGGCCAGCCTGTGCAAATTAGTGAGACCCTGTCTCAAAAAATAAAAACTTTGCTGGGCATGGTGGTGTACGCTTGTAATCCCAGCAACTTGGGAGGCTGTGACAGGGGGACTGCAAGTTCGAGATCAGCCTCAGCAAATTAGTAAGACCCTGTCTCAAAAAATTAAAAAAAAAAGTATTGGGGATGTGGCTCAGTATCTCTGGGTTATATCTCAGGGTTAAATCCCTGGTATCAAAGAGAGAATTTTTGGTGAAAATTTTACTTCTGTCTCCTAAAATTCACATGCTGAAGTACTAACCCTCAAGGTATCGGGAAGTGAGACCTTTGGGAAAAGTACTAGGTTGTGAGAATGGAACCCCCATGAATGGATTAGTGCACTTTAGAAGAGGCCCCTGAGAGCCACCTTGCCCCTTATACCAAAGAGGATAAAAGTCAGCCCTCAAGAAAAAACAAATTTGCCACTCCCTTGATTCCGACTTTCCAGCCTCCAAAACTGTAAGAAATAAATTTCTGTTGTTCATAAGCCACCCAGTATATGATATTGTATTACAGTAGCCCCAACAGACAAGGACAATATGAAATTTGGTTTGTGGGGAAAAGACTAAGTCTATATTGGTACTAAGATTTAACCCCCTGCATACCTACACACAATATCTGAAGTACCAGAACATTTACAAATCCATTCTAAAGAGAAAAATTCTTTAAAAACCCTTTTCCAGATATAAACGTTAAGAAGCTTATCTTGTCGGACTGCCTGCTTGCTGAGCCTAAGGAAAATTTAGTCTAGACATGGGCACACCTAGATTTACATTTTATTTTCCTTAGATCATTGTTCTTGTAAATATCCTAACATTATTTAAACAAATAAAAGTATGTTGAAGAAATGGAGGGAGTAGACCATAATATTTTTGGTAAGAGTTCCCTAATCCTATAAGTAAGATTCCTTAATTTTGATTAAGACTAAACAACAGAAATTTCTGACAAATGCTATCTTTATAACTTGAAACTTTTGGGGAAGACTAGGAAAATCAGCTTAAATAAACACCCATATAAATTATGTGGCTCAAGCACTAAAAACAAAACAACAAAAGCCATTTTCCCCCCACAATTTACTAACGGGAATAGCAGAGAGGCACAAAGGAAAAAGAAACTCCAGCTGTAATACAAAGAAAACCACCAGTAACATTTAGTGCATGTTCCTTAAAGCAATTAATATTTTGAATGCCAATAACATGACAGGACAAGACCCACTTGTGAAGGAAGAGTAAATAATTCTGAGAATAATTCTAGGATTAATAGGCTTTGCTGTGCATTGAGACACACAGCTGTAATCCCAGCAACTTGGGAGACTAAGGCAGGAATATTGCAAGTTTGAGGTTGGTCTCAGAAATTTAGTGAGATACTATGCCAAAACAAAAAATTAGGACTGGGCCAGGCATGGTGGCACTTGCCTGTAATCCCATTGAATTGGGAGGCTGAGGCAGGAGGATCACTAGTTCAAAGCCAATCTCAGCAACAGCAAGGTGATAAGCAACTCAGTGAGACCCTGCCTCTAAATAAAATACAAAATAGGGCTGGGATTGTCGCTCAGTGGTCAAGTGCCCCTGAGTTCAATCCCCAGTCCCCCCCCCCCAAAAAAAAGAAAAAAAAGAAAGAAAAAAAAAGGACTGGGGATGTAGCTCGGTGTTAAAGTTCAATCCTCAAAAGTAAAAAAAAAAAAAAAAAAAAGAGAGATGATTAATAAGCTTTAAAAACACAAATCTTCTAGGCTAGAGGTACAGCTCAGTACTAGAACATTTGTCTAACATGCTGAGGCCCTGGATTCAATATCACAAAAAAATTGATTAAAAATATAAATTTTTCCAAGGAAGGTAAAAACAAATCTGATAAGTTCTGACACATCAAGGACATGAACCAGATAACAGAAAACTCATATGCCAAGGACAATTAACAACAGTGGCACTAAGCCTTAAGAATAGCATCAAGAAGATTAAAGCCCAGAAGGAATAGAAACTTGTGAACATGTGAAGAAGATTCAAAAACAGCATCTGAAACAAGAAAGGGGTCTTATACTAAGCATAGGAGGGACTGACTATACTGAGAAGATGGAAGGTAGGGCCACTCAGCTATTTTTTTTCAACAAGGAGAATTACCTTCTAATTTAAAGAATGAAAAAAAAAAAAACCAAACTTCTCAGAGAATTCAGAGCCAAGAAGAATGTGCTGGATGTGATGGTGCATGCCTGTAATCCCAGGAACTTGAAGACTGAAGCAGAAGGACCACAAGTTT